ATGATGCGGGAACATTTCATTCCCTTCTGGTATTATCTTTAGAAAAATTCCGACTGTTGTGTTGGCCTCACCCATCCACAAAATAAGAAGGACCTCATAAGCCATGATCTTATCTTACCTTTCTTCCCAATAACGACACTCCGCATGCCCTTCACTAAGCTGTTTGCCCTTGAACCTATTCAAGTCAGGAAGCCAGGTGAAGAGGGAGGATGGAACAGGCTGCTCCCAATAGCACAAATGCCCAAGTGAAGTGCTTCTTTGCAAAGAATTGTCAAGGTCTTCAGAAACATAGACGGGGCTTGGAAAAAAAACTCGTATCTTTTTGAAAAGCCAACAAAAATGGGATAAAATATCTTAAGTATCAAGATGGTTTTTCCTGTAGTGTTCAAACTCCTTGAAATCTCAACCCATGAATGCCTTGCTGTACAAATTGTCCTCAGAGAATACAAAGCCTTCTGATTTTCATCTGCATGTGCTTAACCTGATTAAATGTCCAAATTAGCTAGGGGAAGTCCTCACTATCAGGCAAAAGGACAGTTAACATTTCCAAATAGCTAGTAAATTTTTAATTTATAAGTATACATTACATATATATGTATATATATACACATATTCAAGAGCCTGCTGTGTTATGTCTATGGTGAACAAGACTTTGGTCTTGGTGCTTGGAAGTGAGTCGGCATATAAAATTGCTGAAAGGTTTAATGACCTCTGTGTTTGCCCTGCTGGGGTCATTTTGACCATTTCGGTAGTTTTCTGGTTAACTTGCTGGGTTGCCCAAAGCTTCCCAGCTGTTGGCGTCAATGAATAGTAAGGAGAGGCCATAGGTACATCAATGGACCAGGACCTACCCACATCAATAATAAGTCAGCCCCATGCAGCAAAGTGTGCAATGGTCCAATGAGTCTGGAATAGTCCAAATGGCTGTTTTTGATGATTCAAGCAACTATATGCTGATATGAGAAATCAAAGATTTCTTTTGCGCCCAAGAGTGGTACTTGTTTGCAAATGGCTAGACACCAGGGATACAACAAGAAAGACACATGTCTCATGGTCAGAGAGCAGACTGTGACTCACCATGCCTTGGGGGAGAGTTCTGAGAGAGGGTGGCAACAGGAACACAGGGACAGGGGCAGGAGGAGAGTCCTAAAGAATGTGAGCCGAAGGTGGTTTGGGTACGACTGACTTACCCGGTTGTTTCCAGTCTGGTCCTTATAGTAAATCCAGTTCAGGTTCTCGTCAGTCCTGTACTGCACACTGTACTTGGTCATCCACTCATCAATGTCACAACGACCCTGGGTGAGGATACCCGAAATCACCTTGACCTCCTTCAGATCTATCTGTAACCACTGGCTGCTGTCCTGGAACTTGGAGAGCCAGGCGCACCTGCCAGGGACACAGTGAGTTACCGTTAGCCTTTCCCAAGAGCACCTCCGAGAGGCTGGGAGACGCTGTCTTTTTGAGGGGGTGCCAGCACCCAAAGAGCCCCCACAAAGCTCGGGCAGTCTGAGCTGCAATCTGTTAAGCACCCAGAAGCTTGTCTCCAAGAAGTGCCCAGCCTCTGTGATGCCCGTATCATTCTCTTCGTGCACCACCACCGCTGAAGGAAAAATTTCCAGGTTCAACTAATTTGTCAAAGAAATGCCTTTGAGTGTAGCTGAAATCACCTTTGGGGCGTGGCTGAGCACATCTTTCTTTAATGTGTGGTTATTGCATCTGCCAGCCCCCTTCCCTTTTCATTAGTCTTTCCTAATGTTTCCTTCTCCATGAGTCTTTTGTTTTTCTTTAATTTCACTCTATTCATGCATATCTGCATCTCCGTCAGGTGCTGTCACCCGTGGCTTTCAGGGAGTGTCTACCATGTGCACTGAGCCAAGTGCCTCTGGGAGGGCTTTTGACAACTGTAGAGGGAACCAGCCATTGAAGGGACTAATTTTTTTTTTCAGCTATATCCCTCATAAATTGTAGAAACCTATAGCTTCTCTCCCCATTTTTTTTTAATTGCATGTTAATTAGCTTTGTGGGACTCAGCCCTTGACTGCTTTCTTTTTTAATTCCAGACTTGCTCCTTGGGTGGCTCTGACTTTTTACTTCCATCTCAGATCTTTTCTAAATTCCAAATCCCGAAGATCAGTTACTGGCTAGCCAACTTCTCCTGGATACCTTACAGCATCTCAAATGAAATATGTCCAAAAGTGAGCTCCGAATTATCCTCATTCTAACCCCGCCTTCTGGTATTCATCTCTCTGAATTCAACCCCTGTCCTCCCAGGTGCTCATGCCAGCAATTTGAGAGCCATTCGTGGCCACTTCTCTGTCACCTCGAATGGCCAGTCCATCTACTGGTTCCATCTCCAAATGTTTCTCAAAGTCATTACTTCTCTCCATTTCCCTGCCATCACTCTAGACCTCAATTCTCATCTGGATTGCTGCTATAGCTTAACTAGTCTTCCTGAATTACTCCCCACAGAAGCCAGAAGCTTTTTCTTTCAACACAAATCTGATTATGATACTCCCCAACTTCAGATCTTTCTCTGACAGAGTCTAATTGTTTTCAGCTCTTCCCATCTTCCTTTAGTAATAGAACCCCTGTGTTTTATCTGCATAAATAGCCATCCAGCCTCCCTTGAAGCTAGGTGGGCCATCGGACCAAATTTGGGGCAATGAGATATGGGCAGAAGTGGCCAATAGGATTATGTTTGTATCCTTAAAAGTGTGTTCACTCTGCTCTTCTTTTCTCCCTACTGACTAGAATGTGGCTGTGACAGTGGAAGCTAGAGCAGCCATCTTGGTCTCCGAGATGGAAGTTTCATGTTAAGGAAAACAGAACAAGGTAGAAAGAATCTGGACCTCTGACAGCATCCAGCTGCCATAATAACCCTAGACTGCCTAATTCAACTCTTAGATGAGCAAGAAATACACCTCTATGTTAAGTCTGTACTTTGGGGCTCCTTGTTACAGCACCAGAAACCTGTATTCTAACTAATGTACATTCAAGATCCTCCCTTTTATCCCTAAAATAAGGACCACAATCCTTAACATAACTTAAAAGGCCCTGCACGATCTGACTTCTGCCTGCCTCTCCAGCCTTTCCTTGCCTGTGATCTAACCTTGCCGGCCTGCTTTACGGCCCCGCTCCATGCTTAGGAGGGGTCTCCCCAACTCAGGGCCTTTGCACCTAATGTACCCTATGCGCTCCCCCTGCCCCTCAACCTGGCCAACTGTCTCAGGTTAAATATCTTTTCTTTAGAAAGCCCATCACTGGTGCTTCAAATGGCCCATGTCTTTCTTCTTAATCTCCACAGCACTCAGCACACTTACTAAATGATCGATTGTGTGATTATATGCTCAGTCAGTCTCCCCCTCTAAACTGTGTGCTTCTAGAAGGTTAGGACCTCATGCACCTTGTTCGCTGCTGTATGCACATGGAAGGCACTCAATATTTGTTGAATAAGTGCATTCTGTGTCGCTCATTTATTAGAGACCTACTTTTTCAAATCACATGAAAAAGAAAAATCTCCTGAGCCGCCAGCCTGCTTACCCAAAGCCTTGACTGTTGAGCCGGGCCTTGTTGGCAGTCCACGAGGAATACCAGCCCACGTACTGCTCCGGGTTGGAGCAGGTGATCTGGTCTGGTGTAACCTCTCCTGACTCGAAACCCAGGGGCTTATGATATGGGCATTCTGGGAAAGGAAAAACAACACTCGCTTAAACATTTGTATCGCATCGCAAGACTCGACAAACATAAAATGACTGAAATGACAAACCGTCTTGTTCGAAGATGAAGAGATTGCCATAGAGACTCAACATTCGTAAACACAGAGAGAAGTGGTTCTATGGCAACCCCACTGTGGTGTGTGTGTGGGGGGGCGTAGTTTTGATACTATTTTGCCTCCCCCACAAACTTAGAAACCTAAAAACCAAGAGGTTCACAGTGAAATATCATACTTAAATGCCATACTCTTTATTTTCCTCATTAACACAGGTTTAGCCATCCTGCATGATGACATCAGGGTCCTTAATTGTCCTCAGGCAGCATATGATGGCAATTAAAAGACCAAAACAATGGTGAGAGGCAAGAAGGGCAATTATATATTGAGACTGACTTCCCACTTGTAAATTGCAGTTTTCTCACTAATATAATAAAAAACAAAAAGGGTGAAATGTGCCTGAGTGACTGTTGAATAAGAAACAGTTGAAAGGAACTGCTTTTCCCAAATAATAGCCAAAGCTGGTTCTTACATGTTAATCGTCTGCTGCTTCTCAACGTTTTCCTCTCATATTCAGTGTTAGCTTACCTGATGAGAGACTGCCAATTGTCAACCCAGTATCCATTCTCCCCTTCTTTTTGACTAAGGAGCCCTAATTTTGTTGAGGGCAGCAACGTGGCCAGCTAAAAAAGCAATCTTTCCCAGCCTCTCTTGCAGTTAGAAGTGACCATGTGGCATGATTTCTGACCAGTGAGATATAAGAGGGTGTCTGCCAGAGATTTCTGATCAGGTGTTGCTTGTACCTTCTTTCTTCCTGTTGTCTAGTGGGAAGGCCTGCTGGCTGGTGCAACAGTAGCCAGCTTGCACCATGAGGGGAAGGCCAGGAGAACTGCAGAGACCTCAGCCCTGATATGCTTAAGCAACTCCCTACCCGCTACTGTTTTTACCTTCTGAATGAAGAAAGCTAATTCAATCATTCCATAAGCCACTATCTAGGGGGCCGCATTTATAACCAAACCCAGTTTCTAGCTGAATTTCTATAGAAAACAATGATAAACTTATGCAAATACATTCCCCTAGTTTTCTGATTGTGAAAGGTAAACTCCTAGTAAGGTAAATCAAATTATTTTTTTTTCTGTGTATATCTGGGTTCAGATTGAAGAGCTGAACATATTTACTGGAGCATCATCACCTTCAACGGTAAAATGGGCACCAAAGTATTCCTAGAGAATGATTTTCAGAAATCAGTAAAACAGAATGAAGCATGCAGAAACTTGACTGCCATCCTGAGGCTCCAGAATACCTGCAGACCTCTGGCCTAGAAGCGGGGGCGGGGTGGGCTTCTGTCCAATGCACCGAAAAATAGGTCCAACTCCTACCAGTAGCTGCAACTCAGCAGGGCTGGGGGCGAGGGGACAGCATTTGTTTACAAATACCCGAGGCTTTGAGGGCCTATTAAAATAATATCAGTTCCTGGGAGAGAGAACAGGAACGCTTTATGAAACCACGCTCATGCCTTGTGTGGCCGGAACATCAGGGGTGCTTGTTCCCGATGCGGTTTCCAGGATCCCACTCCCAGAGCAGCTGCGCTTTTAACAAGTGCACTTTCTAAGAGCACTTCGGAATCCTTGGCCCTCCAGGGAAGGCATTTTGTTGGCTGGTGCTTCAGGGGACCTATTGCCCATGACCTTAGGGGCTCCTCCACCTCCTCAACCTCTCTCCAACCTGGCCCCAGTGTCAGGAAGCTGGGTTTCAGTTGGGTCTTGGTTGTCACTTAAATTCTAACTGTGGATGTCTCTAAAGCCCCTCCATCTGGAACCTCCCTTTTCTTGCTCTAGGGCCACCAGCTTGGAGGGAGGGGGCAGAGGGGAAGGAAAAGCCATTGCCGCCTCTCCCAGTTGCCTTATTCTTGACATTTTGATCTTTCTCCGGTTTCCCGTCATATTTCTTTTGCCATTTCTTCCCAATTAGCCCATCTAAACAGTTAAGAGTAGACTGTAGACCTGTAGGGACCAGGCCAGTGGCAGTGGCCTTGGAGGCCCGTGAGGGCTTGTCCAGACCTGGATCCTCCCCACACTCTCCAGGGGAGGTGATGATTTTCCCATCCCCATGGTTTCAGCAGGCATCTGAGAACCTTGCCTGAATCTCAGCCCCGAGCCTCCCATGGCCCTCTTGAGTACTTTCCAGGTGAACAGTGCCATCTGGGTGAACCAAAGATACTTCACACCCAGATGGCCAAAACTGAGCCCTTATGTCCAAGCCCCAAGCCTGCCCCATCCAGTGCTCCTGTCTCTGGCATTGGTATGTCCAGCTACTCAGCTGCTCCCCCAGAAACCTGATGGCTTGGTCCAGGGCACAAAGCAGAGGCTTTTCCGTGGATCTAAGCCTGGGCATCACCTGGGGAGTTGCGGAAGTGCTGACATTCGGGCCACACCACCAGAGATCCTGATGTCATTGGTCTGGAGCAGGACCTGGGCATGGGGTAAAGCTGCAGATGATTGTAATGGGCAGCCAAGGTCAAGAATGCCGGCTTAGAGCCAATGTGACCTGCGACTGGATCCCATTCTCCCTCTGCGTGAGTTTAGGCAAGCTGCTTAACGTCTCTGGATCTCAGTTTCTGCACCTGTGAAATGAGCACAACAGTAGAACCTGCCTCCGTGAAGTTGCTATGGGATTGCATGTGATAACGTTGATAGAGCGTAGAGCCTGTAGTGCTGGGCCAAAAAGCATCAGCTCATGTGGGTGGAATAGGGTGAAGTCGTGAGAATATAGTGATGTGTTCTTGAGTTTTTTATATGTTTGTTTTTCTGATGAAGAGTCACCAGAGAAGAAATCTAAAACCCCTCTACCCTACTCTGTCTTGCTCCAGGATGAAGTAAGCTGTGTGTGTGTGTGTGTGTGTGTGTGTGTGTCTCCCCTCCTCTGTCTTGCTCCAGAGTGAAGTAAGCTGTGTGTGTGTGTGTGTGTGTGTGTGTGTGTGCGCGCGCGCGCGCGCGCGCATGTGTCAGAGAGAGACTTGAGACAGAAAGCTGTTGATGGCATAGCATCTCCCAGGTTTATGGATTTAGAAGGTCCAGAGCTCAACAAGAATCAGCCTATTGTCCCAGAGAAGGAGGTGGCCAGAGGCTCTGGGCTTTGACTCTTGGGGAGCAGGGGAGTTGTGATGGGGGCCTGAGCTCAGCAGGGAAATGGTTCCTCTGAGGGGGCTGGACCAGGGATGGGTCCTGGGAGCCCTGGGTTCTGGACACCCTTAGGATACTTGGGAAGGTCTCAGGACTGAGCTTGTTTCAGAGGGAGAAGGTGTCGACCTCTGAGTGGGGCCATGGTCCAGGCAGGGAGTCTGCCACGCAGCCTGAGCCTGGGCCTGGCCCCAGGCAGCCCTCGCAGGCTGTGGGCGCTTCGTGTAGTCCAAAGGGGAGAGGAAGGACCTTCGACAATCCTGTCTTTAGACTCCTCACAGGCCATGACAAAGTGGGACTCAAACTGGAGTTATCTCAACTTAGAAAAATAGAAAATGTAAGATTTCTCGCGCTCTTGTGCTGGGGAATGAACTGCACTTCAGTTACTTTATTACTTTTCCTGACTTCCTTTTCCCCCTCTTCTTCCTTCCATGGTCCTGGCTGAGCATCCTGAGGGCGCGAAGGCCTTCCCTTGAGGCCATTCCCTCTGCCTGTGGCACTCCTGACCCCTCTTTCCCCCATTCATCTGGCCACCGCTACTCATCCTTCAGATCTCTGTCCACTTCTCTTGCCCACCCAGAGCTTGGTAAAGAATTGTAGGTGCTGCCTTCCCAGACACCCTAAGCCTGTCACTTATCCCTCTTCTTGTGATCATTTAAATGTCAGCACCCCTAGTTTGTCTTGCCCACCATTCTATCCTTCTGAGTCCAGCAGAGTGCCTGCTCATGCTAAGCACTCTATAGATACTGCTCGCATGAATGAATGAAGGGATAAACAAACATCATCACCTCCCTCTTGGGTGGCTGCTGGGGATAAGCGGGAAAAATGGCAGAAACAGGAAGCAGAGAGCTCAGGGAAAAAGTAGGAGTTGACTGGCCTAGAGGACTCCCACTGGCCTATGTGTATACACTCATTTTACTCTTAAGGAAAAACTTCCATCTTCTGTGGCACAAGTGGTTCTTCTGAGAGACGACTTGACAATGAGATGGATGAAGCCATATTCGTAATATACTGCTAATCTAGACTGTGGATACTTAACATACTAGCCCCTCTTATTCAATAGATAATTGCTCAATTTGTAGACATGAAGGCTAGAAATGCTTATAAAGAATGTTAACCTAAAGAAACACAAAGAGAGTTCAAGGACATTCTTGTCAAGAGAAAAGTGAATATTATTATGCACACGTATTAGACATGAATATTTACCACGATGTAGTAAAATGTAGAATAATATCTACAGAAGAATAGAGTATAAATTTAAATATAATATAGAAATATAAAATCTAGAATAAAAGTAAAGCATTGAGTCATTGGATTCCTTATGCTTTGATACTTCCCCTACCCTATTCCCACCTCTCAGAGTACCAAGGTAATCTCGGCTCAACTGTGGAAAAGACAGACCTTTTAGTATTTTTAATAACGTTAAGCTGAAGATTAGGAGGCCATAATGCACCTAGATGGTCACCTTCTGCTCTTTGGGTGGGGCGCCTGGGCAGTAACAGCCGGTGTGTACCTGGGAGCTCCTCTTGGCAGCTCTGAATGACTTTCCTGTCCTTCTGTGCTTTCTAGGCTCTTCCCTCCTAAATCAGACTCTGCTGGAAGCATTGAATTTCAGGCTCCAGATAAACAGTATACCATTCTTGAGGTTCCAATGAGGATCTGAGGCTCTGATGGGCAAGTGACTTCTGGAAGGTTGTGCCTAGTCCTGATGCCCTGAATCCTGTCTTTCATGGAAAAACCAATTAACGCCAATAAATCAACCATTTAACATTAAGGTTGTGTTTTTTTCTTTCTGGAAATATCTGTGTTGTTAACAAAACCATCAACAATACAACTTAAAAAAAATAGTGGGGAGAGGAGAACACTTAAGCTAAAGAATTTCTGATTTCCGAACTTCCGGTTCACGGCAACTGTGTAGGGGAGAGAGCTTAGGGGACCCAGTGATCTTCGCATTTCCTCAAACACAAGGCCCTCCTCAGCTTCACAGTTGATTGGGTCGATTAACCCAATCCACATAAATAATCTCTTTTCAATTTCTTCTTAGAAAGAATTTCCTTGCAATGGAAGTCCAGTAGGCCTCCTGTCTCTAGTGATGAGAACATTCATTTTCACTAAAGGGTAAACTCCTCTGGGGTGGAGACAATGTCTTCAATTTTGTCTCCGCATTAGTACCTGGCACATAATAGACACAGGATAAAAGAGGGTGGAATTCTATGGATTATTAAAGAGGGCACTTCAGTATTGACTGGGCAGATCACACCAACACATAATGGCTGCAGGAGTTCACAGCTTGGTGCACAGTGGGATGACCCGTGGGAGAAGCCCACCAAACTAAACAATGCTTACTGCTTTCCCCACTATCGGGACCCCACTGTTCCAGAAAGCTTAGTTCAGAACTGACTTCCTACCTCTTTAGTAAATAGAAAAACGGAGGCAATAAAAGCTCTTGTAGACTTCCCCCACAATTTGCTATTTTAATGCAAATTTAATGAAATAATGAAGAGAAGCTAATACACTACACACCGACCTCTTCTCTCCAGGTGCTATTATTAGGCGATTATGTAAAGTGAATGACGTTGCATGGCACCATCATAACCCGGGAGAGGGGTGGCAAAGACAGTTTGTGCAAAAGAGGACCTGAGCCATTGAAAGGACTGAGCACTGCAAATATTTGCGGGCCGCCCCAGCCTCCAACAGTCAGAGTGTTATAAGCTCTTAGGAGGCAGAAAGAAAAGGAACTAGTTTGCCAGGTACAGCACCAGATGGTGTAATGCCTCATCTGATTTATTCCTCAAAACAACTCCTTAGAGCAGAGATCAGCAAACTGTGGCCCTCGGGCCAAATGTGACTCACCACCTGTTTTTGTAAATAAAGTTTTATTAGCACACAGCCATGCACATACATTTACATATCGTCTATGGCTGCTTTCAAGCAACAATGGCCGAATTGAGGAGTTGAGACTGTACAGCCCACTAAGCCACAAATATTTATTGTGTGGTCCTTAACAGACAAAGTTTGCTGGCCCCTGCCTTAGAAGAAGGCAAGCATTCACATGGCAGGAAAGGCCATGTTACGCAGCAGAACAAACAGTCCCAGAAATTTCAGGGGCTTAACACAGTGAAGGTTTATTTTTCACTCAGGTGATTTGGCCCTGGGGGTCGGCAGGGGGTTCCACCTTACCTCCCCAGCACCCTGGCTGACACACAAGTCACTTTCTGAAGCAGGGAAAGGGAGAGCTGGACAGTTGAGTGCCACCCCTTAAATGCCTCATTTCGGAGGGGACACTGATCACTTCGGCTGGAGCTGCTCACATGATACCACCTGACTGCAAGGGGGTTGGGAGGTGGGGAGGCACACCGTGGTTTGGTGAGCAATGGCTATCCAGGCACAGTAGTATTACCTCCATTTGACAGAAAAAGGCCAGAGTGGGAGTCTCAGAGTTAAAAGTGACCCAGCCAGGATTCCAGCTCTGGCTTAAAGAGCATAGCTTAAAAGCCTATGCTCTTCTCAAAACTTCCTGCCACCATTAATTTATTTTCAATTAATTATCCATTAATCTCTTTCACTGACAGTTAGATGCCATCTTACCATCTCACCCAGGCCAAGTAGAGGTCAGGAAGCTATTCTGAACAATGACATGAGAGCATTTTGTTGGAGCAGTGGCCACGTGACATTTGAAGTTCAGAGGCCAACTGGAGAAAACTCAGAATGTGGCATTCAGGGGATTTAGTTCAGCTGGATTGAAAGAAAGAGGAGAAACAGGGTGTTCCCAAGGGCACTCTAATGATCAGGTGCCCTGAGGAGAGGGACACTCACCTGGTATGCAGTCTAAGGAGGTGGCCCCCGCAGACCACAGGGCATTGGCGCCTCCTTGGCAATTGCACTTGCACGCTTTGTGATACCAGGGGTCCTCGCCCTCATCCTGTGGGAAGCCACAGAGGCAGGAGTGTCAGAAAAGTCACGGTCAAAGGTAAGCATGGTCAGCACTACTGGAAAAACTTGTGTTCAAAAACCTTGCTCATTCATTACTATTGTCTGTGGCTGCTTTCACAGGACAATAGCACAATTGAATCATTAATCCAGCCTTTACAGCAAACAGTTGCCACTCATCTTCGAGTCTAGATCAACAAATGTCTGCCACTGTGGGTGACCAGACACACAATGAGATACACCCATGTAGAGGGCAATGTTCACCCCATTATAGTGTCTTCAGGGGCTTGGGGAGCCCTAGTCCAAGGTTAGGCTCCTCGCATCCCCTGGAGGTCCCTTTTGGGATTCAGTTTTAAAGGTACTAGATTCAAGATCGCACCACCTGAATTAAAACCTGGTTTACTTGCATTCTCACATTCAAACACCATTCTTGGAACTTAACCAGATAAAACGTGCTATGGCCACCACCAGAAAAAAAAAATACTTAAAAAAAAAAGATACTCCTATACATTACTTTTAGCTAGGAAAGTCTTCAAAAGCAGTATCCATGTAAATCCCAGCCTTCTCACTATAACATACCTCAGTAGACGATAATCCCAGCGTGGCTGAGCAAGAGAACAAGAGAGGGAAAATCAAGTTAAAAAAAAGAAAGAAAGAAATTCAACACAGTGATTCATTAAATGGAAAAGTGAAATGAAAACGGTCCCATAAAAGTTAACAAAGCCCCTTCTGGAAGAAGTTAAACTAAATATGTCAGGAAAAACATGTATAGGTGCTGAGAAACTAGGGACAGTAAAATTGAACAGAAAGACAAGGATAATTAGTATTATTTTTATTCATTATAGAATTTTGGAAAATACATTCATGTAGCAAAGATGAAAAAAAAGCACATACACACATTTTTTTTTTTACCACCAAAGGCAACATTGTTAACATCTAAGTGTAAATCTTTCACATCTTTTTTCTTCATATATTTTAAAAAACAGTTGAGAACCTATTATCTAACCAATGTTTACAACATTTCTTTTCCACCTAACATTAACACCGCGAGTTTCTCCCTTTACTTATTGACTCTCATCGTCGTCATTGTCATCATCATCATCATCGTCGTCACCATCATCATCACCCCTAGTGTTGGCCGAATGTGCTATTCCCTGACTGTGAAACATTTAGGTTATTTAGGGTTAGGACATTGTTTAGGAAAATCTCTTTTAGGTTTGTCTATTATATATGAGAAACATCAAGCCACAATTACAGTATAAATAGCATATACATAATGTGGAAAAATTGAAAGTGTGTAAATTTTAACAAAAATAACACATAAACTATCTTTATGGAAGTATGAATAAAAAGGATGAATGCACAATTTAGAAAAGAGTTTGTATATAGTAACATAAACTGATTGTTTAAAGCTGTGCCATCCAATGGGGCAGCCACTAATCCCATAAGGCTATTTGAATTTAAATTAATTAAAATTAATAAAATCCAAAATTCAATTCCTCAGTCACATTTCAAATGCTTACTGGCCACGTGTGGCTATTGGCTACTGTCCTGTACAGCACAGATACACATTTCCATCATCACAAAAGTTTCCATTAGACAGAGCTGGTTTAAAGCACCAAAGCGCCACTTCTATTTTCAGCAAAACAAATCCCCTCATTTCTTTTCTGATTATAAAAACAACACATATCTATTATTAAAAACTCTCAAATAAAACTTGAGTGTACACAGCAGGAAATAAAAACCCCTCCTTAACCACTTTCCTATCTAAAAATTAGACCTGATGCCCACAAAAACCTTTCAGATTGTTTTAGAGTAAAGGGATGGTCTCATGTTTTTCATCACAATTATAAGCTATTTTTCAAATTGTGCCTTTATTTAAGTAGTACATACATATTTACCCATACCTCAAACTGTGTTCATGTGTCCACTGTGAGCTGGCACCACACCAGAGCTCGGGCCTTCTGAAGTGGAAGCCTCGCTCTCTGCCCACAGGGGCTCGAGGACCCAGGAGAAGACAGAGCACTGGACGATGCACATGGTAAATACTGTGCCAGGTTATGCATGGGCTGCAGGAGGGAGTTGGGTGCGGGCATATCTTTTAGCCTGGGCAGACTTAGGGTCACCCCTCACCTGTGGTCACCAAACTGCTGTCTCTCCTGGGCCCTCATCCACTGGTTTTTCATTCCCAGAGGCTCCTTGGTCCTCCTGCATTGGGCAGAATTGACCTTCTCGGGCAGCAGTGAAGGTTAAGGAGCACCATCTCGGTAGGAGGCCAAGCCCTGTGCTGGCAAAGGAAGTTACCAAGACTTCTTACTTTCACATCCAATGTGCTCTTCCCAACACTGACCTTACGTCTTCGTGCTGCAGTGTTGGGTTGGGTGCTGTCAGTCCCTCCCACCTCCTTGAGCTTCCGTCACACTGCTCACCTGGTTCTTCACCCACCACTCTGAATACTCCTCCTCAGTCTCTCTTGAGACCTCTGCTTCCTCTCCACCCCACCCTGCCAAGAACTGTTGCTAAACCCAAGATTCTGGCACTTACACTGAATGGCTTACTGGAGATTTCCCAGTAGATGTCTCTTACTTTCTAAAACTGGCCCCGACCAAGTGTCGGCAAAGTTATGGAGCATCCTGAACTCTCATATGGTGCCAGTGTGGGTATAGGTTGGTCTAACCTCTTTGAAAAACACTATTTATACTAAGGCTGAACGTATATGTGCCATATGACCTAGGAAGTCCACTCCCAAGTATTTGCCCGCAAGAAATGCATAGGTATGTTCTCCAACAAACGAAGACGTAGACTAGATTATTCACAGCTGCAGTATTTGTAATAACTCCTAAACTGGAAACACTCATGTGTCCATCAAGAGTAGAATGGATACCTGTGGTGGATTCACGCAGTAGAACACTGTACGTCAATGAAGAGGGATGATCTATGACTCCACAATATGGCTGCATCGCACAATGTTGAGTGGAAAGTCAGATACTAAAGTGGACATACCATATGATCCATTTAATGTGCAGAAATAGGCCAAAGTAATCTATGGCGCTAGACATTAGGGTCCTGGTCACACTCGGGGTGGGGAGAGGCAGGAAGCCCAGGGAGGGTGTCTGGGGGACTGGTAATGTTCTGTTATTGATCTGTGTGTGGGTTACTTGGGTGTGCTTAGCGGTGAAAATTCATCGAGCTCTATACTTACCTGTACTCCTCTGTATGTATATTGTACTTAAATAAATGTATCTTATACTTCAAAAAGAGTTTTTTAAAAAACTGAACTCATTACATCTATCCTCAGCTTGTTCTTCTCCTTTCTCTATTTCTTGTCCTACTGAATGGCTCCACCGTCCACCTGCTACCCCATCCAGAAACCTGGGACTCCTCCTAGTCACCTCTTTCTCCTAACCCCCCACATCCAGTGTCTACCAGGGGCCTTCTTTCCTCTCCACCCCCACTGCCACTTCCTGCTTAAGGCCTCACTCTTTTTTAAGAGAGACCGTACCTCATCCATCCTCCATGCTGCCAAGTGAATGTAATGCAAACCCGATTGTGTCACTTTCCTTCCAAACCCTTTGGTGGGTCCCCACTGCCAAGGTCTGAGTTCTTCCTCTGACATTCTTTAATCGTATGACCACATTTCTCCATTTCCTCATCTTTAAAAAATAAGTATAATAATAATATGTCCTTCAAGGGGTCACTGTGATTTATTTCCTGCCTACCTCTCCAAATTTATCTTTTGCACGCTGTACTACTTGCAATGCATCAAATGTGCCAAGCTGTTTTTTGCCTCCATGCCTTTGTCTATATGATTTCTTGGCCTCAAATGCCTTCCCCTCCCAACTTTTCTGCCTGATTCTCCTCTGCCCTCTGAAGAGGTCTTTTTCTGTCCTCCATGTAGAACTCACCGCATGCTCTGGACTTTTTGTCCCACTTCTTTCTTGTCTATAGTTTTATCTAAGCACTATACAATTATAGAAATTGATAGAAAAGATAACTGATAATGACGGGTACCAAAGCATTCATTCATTCATTAATATTCATTAAGCATCTATCATATTCCAGGCTCAGCTTTAGGTTCTGGGTATATAAGTAAACAAAACGGGAAAAACACCTGCCCTCACTGAACTTATGGTTTAATGTGGGGGAATGGGGGCATAATGAATGAATGAAATGTAAAGACCCTCAAGTAGGTGGGTGCTTGGCATGTCTTCCAGGAGAGACATGATGGTGGCTTGGCTCAGGGTGGTGGCAGTGGAAGTAATGAGAAGTGACTGGATTTTGACAGTCTTTGGAAGGTGGCATTGACAGGATTGGCTGACAGATGATGTGGGTGTGAAAGAACGAGAGGTCTGAGGCCTGAGTGACTGGGAGGACTGAGCTACAATTTACAGGGGGAGCACAAGTTTCAGGGGGAGCAATGGGTGGAGATGTTCCTTTTGAGAGGCCAATGGAACACCCAAGTGTTGAGGTTGAGTGGGCAGCTGGCTGGAAATTTCTGGAGCTCGGGGGAAAGTCCAGCTTGGCTGGGTGGTACCCTGAGTTCCTCGCAGTTAATGTGTACATGAACCCGTAGCCTCGGTCCCATAGCTGTTCCCCAAGAACTGCAAAGTAGATGAGCAATTAGCATCTAGTTGATTTGGGAGCTAATCCAAGAGGCACTCGGCTCCACCCCCATCTTCAAAAGAATCTGGGGATGACTGAAATGCAGAAAGATCCTGTAAGTTTGGCAAACATCAATTGTGTCAAGATCCTCTTTTAGGGGGGACCAAAGGTGAAGTGAGTCAATCATTGGCAGTGTGTCCTTAATAAGCAAATCAATTTGGCCCAGAGGCTGGGTCTGTCACTGAAGAGGGTCGATGCAGCAGCTGTAACTGAGCAAACCCAGAGTTCAAGTGAGGCTTCGGACCCATCTAATTGTTTTTCTCATCACCTGGGTTCAGGGGTGGGCCCTGGACCGGCTCTGCATTCTGCAGAAACAAAGCAGAAGACACAAAGGAATGGGTGGTGGTCCCGCCACTGTCTGTCTGTGGAGTGGAAGAGAACTAAGAGGAAGTCTGGTTTCACAGCCGCCTCCAGTGCTCATTCAGAGGCTGGGCAGATTTCTGGCATTTTTCACCCCCCAGACTCCCCTCCCCAGAAAGCATTTGTTTTGCAGGCAGCCTGGGGTTCTGAGGCACCAGATCCTTATGGAAATGAGCAGAGAGAGAAGGAACGACAAGCATTTTACAGGAAAAGCTGTCAGCAAGGGAGTGGCTGCTGTAGTCCCTCAAATGATTTAATCACCAGAAAAGCTGGTGAACAAAAGCAAAAGCATGTTTGACTATAATATTTTATAATACCAGAAAATAACATTGTTGGAATGAGCAAAAGAAAACAGGGCAGCCTTTAAAGGAAAAAGAGTAAAAGATTTAGATTACGTGGTTGTGGATTTTTCTCCCTACTGGGATTGTTTTCTTGATTCTTCCACGGGTTACGACGAGTTTCCACTAGAGCGGCTGAGATGCCTGCCACTCACCAATCTTAGAGTCATGCAATATGGGATCATCCTGCCCTTTTGCCCAAAAGGGCCACCCCATGGCGAAATGCTTGTTATCACAGCAAGGAAATTCAAGGCATGCCTATTTCTTGAAATGTACCCTGCAAGCCCAAGAGGGAAAGTGTACATTAGCCGCACATAGGAAAGACTATTTTAGTCTCTTCGTTTGGATGTCACTAAATACAGAGTTTTCCTTCCCATGGAAACAGAGGAAAGCCGAGGAGAAAAGCATAAAATTATGAATGATAAAAACTGTCTCTAACCAGCTCCCAATCTCCTTAAGGAACAAGAATAAGACACGGGAGAAAAACAGCAGGCTGTAATAATGTCCCTCTCCATGAAGAAGAAAAGAAGGAAATTGCTTCTGGTGTGAAAGTGTTACTATTTTAGGCGACAGGCATATTCATGGGTAAATCTGTTATCCGTACCTGCTTCAACACAGATGAAGCACAAAAACATACACTACATGACAGATGAAAGACCATATGTTACATGATTCCATTTAAATGAAATGTCCCGAATAGGCAAATCTATGGAGACAGAAAGTAGATCAGTGGTTGTCGGGGGCTGGGGGTAGGAGATAAGGGGAGTGAGTGCTTAATGTCTACGGGATTCTTTTGGGGTGATGAAAATGCTCTGAAACTAGATTGTGTCCTTCACAAATCTGTAAATATACTAAAAATGATTGAATTGCACACTTTAAATGAGTGAATTTAATGATATGTAAATTATATCTCAAGAAAGTAGCTTTAAAAAAAATTTGCTGTCCCTGATGGTAAGAGGACATACCTGAAAGATGAAACTTGGTGATTTTCTAAAAAATATAATAACCATGACCAAATAATGGACTGATGTAATTTAATAAGATGGATATTTTAAAAATCATCGTTGGCATTGAATCCAAAATGTACACTATAAGATAAATAGAAGCTTTCCTCAGTTATAAGACATAAGTAGTGCTTTACTCTGATGATTTGTGCATTCCCAAATGAACCTTCATCCAATGCATAAATGAGTCAGTCCATTTATCTTATTTTACTGTAATAAGGAGCCACTGCCACCATGAAATAGAAAAGAGTAAATTAAACAAAGAAGCTTTGTCTTCAGGTTCCCAGTTCTGCGGTAGAATACATCTTTCCCATGTGCATTGTGCCGTATTTCTCCATCTGGATCGTAAACTGCTTTAGTGCAGTAATCGTATCCTGTATTCTTTTCTGTCTCCTGGAGCTTCCCTCTAGCTTAGGGTAGTGCAGTGGCTGGCTGCTTTCCTTCCATGCCTTGTGAGGATGGAGGTTCTGGGTTAGGTCAGTAAGAGAATTTAAGCTTCTCAAGCCTACCGGCTAGACCACATTCCATTCCACCTGGACCAATGGGATTCTCTGTGTAGAAATTTCTGGAGCGCCCCAGCCATGCCCAAAGATTGGTAAGCCATAGAACAGGAAAGAATGCTGCGCTCTGTGCCTCCTGATAGCGTATCTTTTATTGCAGATATTCCCTGAATGGGCGAGTCTAATTTAAAAATAGGCTGGTAAACTTTTAAAGGGCTTCTTTGCATTTGGGGGTCACAGAAGCAGGGCTGTTAGACTCAAGACTGATAAAGCAACAAGGAACTTCCCTGAGTATCAAGGTCTTACATAATGTTTGGCCCACAGCAGGTACTCACGGATGGTTCTTGAATGAACAGGCAAATGAATGAATAAATGGATAAATGAATCTCAATGCCAATCACAAAGAGAAATCTGAGGGTGAGCCCTGCGGATATCTGAGAACCGGGGGTATTGGGATCTAAACCTTGAAAGGCTGTTTAGATTTTCTTGCTGAGGAAAGGGCAAGGAGTAAAGGAGAAGCAACGAAACTCCAAAAACATCTTAAAGTATTAAGTTACTGGGACAAGTCGCTGATTTTTAACTGCAAGAGGGAAAAACAGGCAATTAGTCTAAATGATCTCTATTTAGAAATATATTTGGGTTTGCAAAATGACCTTGGGATTATATCTTTACAAGTCTTTTCAGATACTGAGAAATGTGACTAAATAACAAAAGTCATGAGACTGGGGAATCATGAAAGCCAGTACTCTACCGATAAAATATGAAATGGGTAGAGAGGAGAATGATTTAAACCAGGAATTCTGACTCTATATGCGTGAGTTTTGTCATGTCTGTTTACCAGGTCATTTTCAGAGTGGGGAGGCCTCCTCCTCCTTGCCCTCCTTATTTGTTTCCTGTAACACACATAAATACCCAATAGCCCCAGAGAAGACATTCAACCAATTTCTAATGTCCAGAAAAAAACTAAAAAGGAATTCTGAGTTGATGGGTCCCCGAGAGTTGAGAGAGACATGAAAGAATATTATTCCAAAGACTGAGAATTTACAAGTTGAATTGGATGACATTTTAGAGATTTGCCTTTAATTTCTCATTTAAGCATATCACTCCTGCCGGGGCCATATTTAGCAATGTAAAAATGATTGAGTGTATTGAGTCTTTGGGGGTTTCTGACTTTCAGTTGGATTATTCTATTAGAGTCCAGTGGTACTCAACATGTTATGTTAATCCATATTTAAACTAGGATGACCTCAAGTCCCGATTTGCCTAGGACAGTCCTGGTTTACACCTGTTGTCCCAGCAGAATTATTAATAGCATCTTCTTCTACTCTCAATAGCGTCCTGGTTTGGAAGATTAGATTCTACAATCATTCTAACTTTGACTCCTAAAAATTTTCAAGAACATGCCACACTTTCTTTTTGTCATCGTCGTTGTTGTTTCACTCACACTTTCTTAATTGTTGCAATTTATAGCTATTTTATGCAATTTCTGAGACCCTTCCTTTTTTCCGACCCATTTAAGCATCCTTTGAACTTCAGATGGCTCCTCATAGAACCAGAAAGCCCATAGTGAGACAAAGAGGACTGTATCCACACAAAGATGATTGCTGTTCATTAATAACACATATTTAATTAATCAACATGGCTTCTTCGTTAATAATATTTTAATTATTCAGACTGCATTTCTATTAATCAGCTATATTATTAATTCAATTGAATTATTAAGTATTTAATGAAAGCCAATGGTTGGCTAGCACATACCTTCATAGCCAAAGAGAAGTAAAACCAAGAAGCCTTCTATCTTGCGTGGCATTCTCCCCTTGCCCTTGGCCGCAGCTCTACCTTATCCAAGTGCAGAGCTTCCCCAGGAGCAGGAGCTTAACTTGAGCACTGGCCTCATTAAGCACCTTATTCCATTTAGTTCTTAGAGCTTTGGCTGAGCCCCACCAAGTTAACCCACATAGTTACCTGCCTGAACAAGGAAGTCTCAGAGAAGAATCTAATGTCAACTGAGGTCAGTTTAACAAAGAAAGATATTGGTTTTAATCTACCTTTAAATGTAAGGGAAGCAGTGGAGGGAGATAGGAACTAGAATCAGAAGACCCAGGTCTTAATCCTTTCTCTGCCATTATCTTATAGTGGGTGACCTTGAGCCATTTCCTGCCAAATAAACAGTAACATTGTCGAGTTCTATGAAAATGACATGATTCCCCTCTTAGAAAGCAATGTGACATTATGCGCATGCCTATTCACTCAGGAAAATGCTAAATTTGGGAGGGGGGAACAGTTACACACAAAGATATACATTGTTGTGTCATTTATAATAACAAGTGGAAACAATCTACATGGCCAAGGTTGCGGCAGGTAGGGTTAAGAGCAGATTCCCAAGCCAGACTGGGTGCAGATCCCAGCTCAACTACTTGTTATGTGACCTTGGGCAAGTGACTTAAATCTCTTTGCTTCAACTTTCTGATCTGTAAGATGGTGATAATAATGCCTACTTCATAGAATTAGTTTGAGACCTAAATGACATTATATGTATATATGTATATGATTTATATGTAATATAAATTGTATCCTGTAATATAAATCATATACATATTACATATAAATCATATATATATATTAAAAGTTCTGGAGATCTTTTCACAACAATGTTAATATACTTCACGTTACTTAACTGTACATATAAAAATGGTTAAGATGTAAAAAAAGAATAAAGTTCATGAAGTGATTGTAATAACAGGAAGAATCATGTGTCATTCTCAAGAGTTGGAAAAACACACCATATGAGCAAAACTATGTGGCAAAGTGCAAAGAAAAAGACCGCATTTCCTTTTCCTTTTTTGGTGCTTGGCCCTCACTATCCCACCTTTAGCCACCAGGGTCTCAGATACCTTTCCTTCGTTCCTCTTGTCAAAGATGAAAAAGACTGTTTTATTAGAGTGCCATTGGTTAATAAAATTATATAGGTTTCAAGTGCACAATTCAATAATATGTCATCTGTATATCGCATTGTATATTCACAACCAAAAGTCAAATCTCCTTCTGTCACCATATATTTGACCCCCTTTACCCTTATCTACCTCCCCCATCTCCCCTTTCCTTCTGGTAACCATTAAATTGTTTCTGTGTCTATGAATCTTTGTTTGTCTTGTTCATTTGTTGCTTTCAGTTTTAATATCCCACATATGAGTGAAATCATATGGTTCTCAACTTTTTCTGTCTGGCTTATTTCACTTAGCGTGATGATCTTAAGATCCATCCATGTTGTTGCAAATGGCAGTATTTCATCTCTTTTTATGGCTGAGTAATATTCCATCGTATATATGTATCACATCTTCTTTATCCAATCATTTGTTGAAGAACACTTTGGTTGTTTTCATGTCTTGGCCACCAGGACATGCTGTTTTAAATATCGGGGTGCATAAATCTTTACAGATAAATTTTTCAAAAATTTGAAGTAGATATCCAGAAGAAGGATTGCTGGGTCATATGGTAATTCTATTCTTCATTTTTTGAGGAACCTCTGTACTGTTTTCCACAGGGGCTGTACCAATTTACATTCCTACCAGCAGTGTCTGAGGGTTCCTTTTTTCCCACATCTTCTCCAACACTCATTATTACTTGTCTTGATTATAGCCATTCTAACAGGTGTGAAGTGGTCTCTCATTGTGGTTTGATTTGCATTTCCCTAATATCTAGTGAAGTTGAATATCTTTTCACAAGTCTGTTGCCTGTTTGTATGTCTTCTTGGGAGAAGTGTCTGTTCAGATCCTCTGCCCATTTTTTAATTGGATTGTTTGTTTTTTTGTTGTTGAGTCGTGCAAGTTCTTTATGTATTTTAGATACTAAACACTTATTGGAGGCATTGTTTGCAAATATCTTCTCCCATTCGGTTGGTTGCCTCTTTGTTTTGTTAATGGTTTCCTTTGCTGTGCAGAAGCTTTTTAGTTTGATATAGTCCCATTCATTTATCTTTGCTTTTACTTCTTTGCCTTTGAGGTCAAGTTCATAAAATCCCCTCTAAGACCAGGGTCCATGAGTTTAGTACCTATCTATGTTTTCTTCTATGTAATTTATTGTTTCCAGTCTTATACTTAAGTCTTTGATTCATTTTGAATCAATTTTGCTGTATAGTGACAGATAGTCTAGTTTTATTCTTTTGCATGTGGCTTTCTAATTTTCCCAGCACCATTTATTGAAGAGGATTTTTTGCTCCATTGTATGTGTTTGGCTTCTTTGTCGAAAATTATTTGCCCATATATGTGGGTTTATTTTTGGGTTCTCAATTCTGTTGTCTGTTTTTCTGCCAATACCATGCTGTTTTGATTATTGTTGCTTTGTAGTGTAAATTGAAGTCAGAAAAAAGCCATTATTAAAAAGATAATAGTAACCTCCCCCAAAGAAAGTGTAATAAACTAGTAAAGAGGAACAACAACAACAACAAAACTAGAAAACGTTATTCAATCAGCATTTATTGGGTGTCTACAAGTCTAACATTTTTTCCATACTGTGTATGGATTATTTTTTCTCCAGTTGTCGAATTTTATTTATTTTTTAAAAAAATTATTTATCTTTTTTTCAAGTACAGTTGACATTCCATATTATTTTATATTAGTTTCAGGTATACAACATAGTGATTAAATATTTATATAACTTACGAGTGATCACCTGATAAATCTAGTACCCACCTGACACCATACACAGTTATCACAATGTTTTTGACTATATTCCCTATGCCCTACTTCACATCCTGATGACTATTTTTTAACTATCAGTTGTACTTCTTTCCTTCACCTTTTTCTCCTAGTCCCCACCCCCATCTGGCAACCATTTGTTCTCTATGAGTCTGTTTCTGTTTTGTTTCTTATTTATATTGTTCTTTCATTGAAGGTCTATTTAACAAACTCTACTGATGTATTAAAAAGAAAAGAACTATTGTTTTCTTTGCTCTATATTTTAGAGTTTAACAAAAAATTAGGCCTTTAATAGTAATAATAATAATAAACCTTTAATAACTGAACTGCAGTCAAAGAGCTGCGGTATTGCCATATTTTAGTTGGAGGCTTTAGGAGGCCCGCCTATGCTGGCTTGCAGGAAAAGTACGGTGCCGGGTGATCTTTCCCCAAAGCGCTCGATTTCCCCTGCCCCTCCGGAGTACCGGAGGAGAGGTGGGGGTAGGGCCGGGGCGGGCCGGAGTGGTCTCCCCTAGAAACAGCCGGGCCCCCACCTCTGCTGTTTTTCAGATGGAAGGATGGCGGCGGGGATGGGAGAAGGTAACTGTCATCACGCTTCTGCTACAAAAGCATTCCATTAAATAAATTTATTTTAAGGGCGAAAGAAAAGCACCTTGTATTCGCTTTTCATCTTTCCACCCTGTCGACTAAATTCAAAAAAAGTTAAAATTGGGAAAATAGCTTGCCAGCCGTGGTCCCACTGGGGCTCGAACCCAGGACCTTCTGCGTGTAAAGCAGACGTGATAACCACTACACTATGGAACCTCCCGGCAGATAGCGGCCATATTTCACGTATTCATAGGCTCACGTCAGAACCAGCGCCCCGCGAAACCCCGCCCTTCTGTTGTAGCTCCACCCATGACGCGGCCCCGCCCCGCCCGCGAGATCTGGTGTTCGCAGCCAGGTGAGGGCTCTGGCTCCGGCGTTTGGGTTGCCGGCCTTGCCAGCACGCCGCATTCGTCACTCTTGCGACCAGGGTTTCCCCCTGGCTGAGAGAGCCGCCCCGCTTATCACGCGTCCTCAAACTTTTCCAATGCCGGGGCGTTGGCGAGGCCGGCCCAGCGGGCGAAAGCGGACCGTGTCCCCGGCACGGCCCCTTCTGGTGGGTTCCCTCAGCTATTGAGGGACCCGCGTTTTCCTCATTTTCCTCATTTTTCTCATGGGCACACTCAGCTGGTTCCGGCGGCATTGGAGGCCTTGAGTCCGGAGCAAGGCGGACAGGAACACCAGTTGGAGCCAAAGATTAAGGCAGCGCGGGGTCTGGGGTGGGTTGGGGAGGGTCATTTTTATAGTGGCATTTATTTTGCCAGGGTTGGAAGAGGCCGCTGGTGAGTCGGCCTCTTGCCCCAGAACAAACAGGCTCTTACTGCTCCCCTGAACTTTTCCACAGCCTTTTCCCGCTCTGCAAGCCCGAAAGGGGCTGAACATTGCAGGACTTTTGTTTGCTCTTACTTGCCTAGGGCTAGGGTAGGGTTGAGGGGCGGGGTAGACAAACCACCCCTTAAGGCTGGGGTTGGGGGTGTGAAGCAGGACCTGCCACAAGATTTGAGGGACCCAGTGTAAAACGAATATGTCAGGTCGCTTGTTCATAAGTTAAGAATTCCATTACGGTAGCCCCAGAGCATTAAACCCAGTACGAAACCTTGCGATTGCACAGGTCGAGGCCCGTGAATCTGCCACTGTGCTTCCAGGATTGTGGTCCCGGTACGGTGCTGGGACCCTCCATTACTAAGGGCACCTGTATGGTCTCCTCGGTTTTCATTGTTCCCCATGTACACTCCATGTAGAAAGGAAGCTGGTGAACCTCCGATGCATGCAATAGGAGTTTCTGCCTTTACTGAAAAACTCTTGCTCCTTTTCTCCATTCTGACAAGGAGGGAGACTTTTGTTCCACTCTCTACTACCTTGGAGGTATAGTCACAGTCTTTATAATTAGTAAACTGCAATATGGTTTACAAAGTATTTTGATATACATTCCTGTAAGGTAGGCATAGTAAATATTACTATCTCCATTTTGCAGCTGAAGAAGTGGAAGCTGAAGATATTGAATGCCTTGCCTGAGACCATTCTGCTGGTGAGTGGCAGGACTGGGCTCATACTCAGTCTTCTGATACCTAAATGATTTCAGGAGGCCCACAAAGGGTACATATTTTTTCCCATAAGAGTGCCATTGGTCTCTTGTAGTATTTTGTATGCATGCCATTGAGGAAATAGATACTTTTTCTTTTTTATCTTTTATAATTTTTTCAGTGAAATCCTCAAAACCAGGAACCAAGAGCCTGTGGAAGCAACTGTTGATGATTTTCACCTTGAAACCACCAGTCTTGGATAGTGTCTCAGGTGGCCACAGTTTTGCCTGGCACTTCAGTCTGTTCAGTCAGATTTATGAGGCCTGTCACCCCCAGGTATGCCCATAAGCATCTCAACAACTATAAGACAAATACATAAACAAACTATGAAATAAAGACTAGAAGTTACTTCAAGCTTTTTGAGTCTTCTGATTTCTCAGATGTTTAGTGTGGCTTCCCCAATGTTTAGCTTCACTGATGGAGAGTAATTCAACCAAAGAGACTACAACCCCAAAAATTGAGTTGATTTAGGAAACAACTGATTTAGGAAACTCAGTTGACCTGATTTCATTTAGAAATGATTGTACTATGTTTTTCAGTGAGTACTCAAGTATTTACTAAGAAAAGTGAGTCATTACCTTAGTATGACAGAGCTTACTTTATTTTCCCCCATTTGCAGCTCATTGGGTTCAAACATTTGAAACTAGTCTGTTCGAATGGATATTTGTTGTTTTTTGCCCACTTAACTTTTCATAGTTGCATACATTCCTGTCTACTTAGCCAGCTGAAGTACTGTCATTTTTATCACTTGTTTGCTCCTTTGATGCTGGTGCTTGTTGGCCACAATCTGTTAAATCCAACTCTCTCCTTGCTTCACCCCTGAATATGCCCCCAGGAAGGACACGAATGCAGGCCTACTGGTTTCACATTAAATTGTTTACTTACCTTGTGGCTTAGCTGGTCAAAGCACATGTCTAGTAAATTCTTTACTTACCTCAAGTGAGGCCCTGATGTACCCCAAAATTGTATCTACTTCCCCTGTCCATTCATTATCCATTTCTCCTAAAGGGCAGTTTCATATCTTCTCTCCCAAAACTGCCTGTATCTCCTTCTCCAGTCTCATTTACAGCTAATGAACTCACTTTCTTATTTCAGTGAAAAAATGGAAGCAATCAGAAGAGAACTTCTACAAGTACCCCTACATCTGCCCACCTACGTACATCTGTGCCCTCATAGATCTAGACCCGGGCTCTTCCTTCAGATCAGGGCTTCGTGACCACAGCCCTGTTGACATTTGGGACTGGGTAACATTTGTTGTGGGGAGCTGTCCTGTGTATTATAGAATGTTTTATAGCATCCCTGCCCTCTACTCACTAGATGCCCATAGCACCCCTCCCCAAGTTGTGACAACTGAAAATATCCCCTGGGGGGACAAAAATCTTGAAGGCTCTTTGGCAATGTCTACAGATACTTTGGGTTGTCATGATGGTGTGGGGTACTGGCAGATAGTGGGCAGAGACCAGTCATGTGGTGAGACATCCTACAATGCCCAGGACAGCACCCACAACAAAAAATTATCTGGTCTCAAATGTTGATAGTGCCATGGTTGAGAATCCCGCCCTAGATGAATCGTCTGCATTCGTATTGAAACCCAGCCCTCCACTTACTCTTGCAGGAGTTGGAGCTGACTCAGTGGCATGTAACACACATAACATTTTGACAGTGTCTTTAATCTGCTCCCAAACTACTGCCCTGTGTTCCAGTCCCCTGACTGAAGTAGTTTATTATCACATGCCTTCAAAATGTGTAGAAACACAGTGTAGGGCAATGTGGGAGTTTTAATATTTTTTATTTTTCAATTATAGTTGGCATATGATATTATATTAGTTTCAGGTGTCCAATATAGTGATTAGACATCTATATAACTCATGAAGTGATCACCCTAATAAATCTAGTGCCCCTCTGACACCATACATAGTTATTATAATATTATTCACTATATTCCTTATGCTATACTTTACATTTCCATGACTATTTTGTAGCAACCAATTTGTACTTCTTAATTCCCCATTTTTCAGTGCCACCCCCTGACCCCTCTACCATCTGGTAATCTTCAGAATGTTCTCTCTATATGAGTTTGTTTTGTTTATTTTGTTTAGATTCCACATGTACGTGAAATCATATGGCATTTATCTGACTTACTTCACTCAGCATAATACCCTCTAGGTCTATTACGAAATATCTTTTTCTTTTACTTTCTGTGTGTGTCTTTTAATCTGAACTGAGTCTCTTGTAGGCATCCTATGTAAGGATTTTGTTTTCTTATCTATTCAGCCACACTATCTTTTGATTAGAGCATTTAATTCTTTTTCATTCGAAGTACATGTTGGTAGATATATAGTTATTGCCATTCTTTATTCATATTTTTGATACATATTTTTTTCTTCTTCTTAGAAAAGAAAGTCCCTCCAACATTTCCTGTAATACTGGCTTGGTGCTGATGAACTCCTTTAGCTTTTCTTGTTTGGGAAGTTCTTTATCTGTCCTTCAATTCTAAATGATAGCTTTGCTAGGTAATTTTGATTGTAGGTCTTTGCTTTTTATCACTTTGAATATTTTGTGCTAAGCCCTTCTGGCCTGCAAAGTTTCTGTTGAGAAATCCACTGCCAGTCTATGGGAGCTCTCTTGTAGGTAACTGCTTTTCTTTAGCTGCTTTTAAGATTCTCTCTTTGTATTTAACCTTTGACATTTTAATGGTGATGATGTGTCTTAGTGTGGGCCTCTTTGGGTTCATCTTGTTTGAGACTCTCTGAGCTTCCTGGAGTTGTATGTCTATTTCCTTCACCAGGTCAGGGAAGTTTTCTGTCATTATTTCTTCAAACAAGTTTTCAATTTCCTGCTCTCTCTTCTTCTGGATGCAGATGTTGTTACGCTTGATGTCCCAGAGGCTCCTTAAACTATCTTCATTTTTTTGGATTCTTTTTTTCTTGTTGTTGTTTGATTGGGTGTCCTCTGCTACTCCATCCTCTAAATCACTGATGTGATCCTCTGCTTTATCCACTCTGTTGATTCCCTCTCATATACTCTTCATCTCAGATATTGTATTCTTCACTTCTGACTGGTTCCTTTTTATGTTTTCTATGTCAATTTTTATGCTTTCTATCTCTTTGTTAAGTTCTCACTGAGTTCATCTACTCTTTCTCTAAGTTCATTAGCATCCTTATCACCAGTGTTTTGAACTCTGCATCTGGTAGATTGCTCATCTCCATTTTGTTTAGTTCTTTTTCTGGACCTTTGTTCTGTTCTTTCATGTGAGACATGTTTCTTTGTCTCCCCATTTTGGCTGTCTCCCTGTGTCTGTTTCTATGTCTTATGTAGGGCTCCTAAGTTTCCCGGTCTTGGTAGAGTGGCTTTATGTAGTAGGTGTCCTGTGGGGCCCAGGGGCACAGTCTTCCTTGGTCACTTGAGGGAGGTGCTCAAGGTGTGTCCCTTGTGTGGGTTGCATGTGCCCATCTGTTGTAGTTGATCCTTGGTTGCTGTTTGCATTTTGATGGGAGAGATTAACCCTTGGGCTGATTGGTTGTGAGGCTTGGCTGGTGACCGGTTGACCCTATGGAGCAGGATTCACTTAGCAGGGCTCTGGTGACTGCTCCATCTGCCGTTCGGGTGTGTCTTCCTCAGATGCAGCTCTGAGTGGTGCTGTGGCTCCAGCGCTGTTCAAAGCAGGCCACTGGGTGTGCTGGCCCAAGGGCCTCCTGGGAGGGGCCCAACTGCAGGCTAAGTTCAGCCACAGCCTGTGCACCTCCAGGACCACCTGGTCAGAGTCACCAAGCAATCCACAGACGGCTGCCACCCATGCTGGGCTTATAGGTACCTCGAGAGGCCAAACCAGAAACCGAGACCAGCTGCCTCAGTAAGAGGTACGGGGAACGCCGAGGTCAAGTGCTGTTTCTTTGGGTTTTGTGAGCCTTTGGGAGATATTAGGAAAGTCCGCAGAAAGAGCCAAGACAGGCCATTTGTATGGAATAAACCACTGGAGGTGGCTTGGGTGGGCCTGCAGGTTGGGAGGGGCGGGGTCTCAGGGTCTCTTCTGGGCAGAGTGACGTGTGTTTTCCAGGTTGATGGCAACTCAGATATGGTGGCCACCTGCATCAACAAAGGCACAATGGATACTGCCAGCCCTTCTGTCTGGGAGAAAGCCACCCCTCCAGCCCTCGCCCTGAAGCTCGACAGCTCAGTTCTTCCCCGTGTGTCCCTGGCACTCCTCTAGCCGCTGCCCCGGTGCTGGAGCTCAGAGCGAGTGAGTCCATCAGCGAGTAAGGCTGGGAATGGGCCCTTTAAGAGGAACGCCTGCGACTCCCGCAGCCCTCCATCTAACTCAGTCACAATCTCTGCTGGTTTTCATAGCCAGAGGTTGTGAGTACTTCTCTCCCTGGCACTGGAACCCCGGGGCTGGGGAGCCCGGTGTTGGGCCGGGACCTCTCGCTTCTCAGGTGGGGGAGGGGACTCTACAGCCAAGATAGCCCTCCGGATTCTCATCCAGCACTTGTGGTTGTGGGTCCAGCAGGTTCACATCTCCGCCCCTCCTAGCATCCTCTTCTTATGCATGTCCCCAGTTGTAGACTTCTATTCAGCCAGACCTCAGGCGACTCCCAGTGATGGTTGCTCTGTAGTTTCATTATAATTTTGGTGTGGTCGCAAGAGGAGGTGTGCACAGCATCTACCTTCTACGCCATCTTGAACAGAAGCCTAAAAAGAAGTATATAATATGGCTCCATCTCAAGGAGTTTGAAGAACATTAATGCAAAAGACTGATTTGTTCCAAGATTTAATGGATGATAATGGCTTGAAGTGGTTTTCCAGCTTAGGATGTTATTGGATTTTAATTATGCCCTGTCTCCTCTCTCTTAAAGAAGAAACTCAAAAGAGGAGAAGGCAGAAAGTGGGGGCAGGATGAAATGCAGAAACCTAATAGTAAAGATGGTCTCATGTGGTATTCCTCTCAACATCAGCTATCTGTAATCTCCAAAATCACCCACAACACATGAGCTTAGATTTGATAGAGATAGCCACTCAAGAGAGAAAGAGCTCAGCTAAAATTACTTTGTTTCTCCTTCTTTATTTATGTCTTGAGGTACCTCTAGTTTTTTAAAATTTAAAAAATTTTAAATTACAGTTGACATACAATACTATACTAGTTTCACGTCTACAACATAGTGATTAGACATTTATATAACTTATGAAGTGATCACCCCGATAAGTCTAGTACCCATATGATAACATACATAGTTACTACAATATTAACGACTATATTCCCTGTATTGTATTTTACATCTCCATGACTATTTTTTCTTTTTTTTTAATTTTTATTTCTTAATTACAGTTAACATTCAATATTATGTTAGTTTCAGGTGTACAGCATAGTGGTTAGACATTTATATAATTTGTGAAGTGATCCCCCCGATTAGTCTAGTGCCCATCTGGCACCATACATTATTATTGCCTGTATTCCCTATGCTTACTTTTACATCCCTGTGACTATTTTGTAACTACCAATTTGTACTTCTTAATCCCTCCACCTTTTTCTCCCAGTCCCCCATTCCCCACCCCACCAATCTGGTAACCATCAGCTTGTTCTCTATCTATGAATCTGTTTCTGTTTTTGTTTGTTCATTTATTTAGTTAGATTTCCACATATAAGTGAAATCATATGATATTTGTCTTTCTCTGTCTGATTTATTTTACTTAAGATAATTCACTCTGGGTCCATCCATGTCACAAATGGTAAGATTTCATTCTTTTTTTTTTTATGGCCAAGTAATATTGCATTGTAAATATATACCACCTCTTCTTTATCCAATCATGTTTTGATTGACACTTAAGTTGTTTCCATGGCTATTGTGAATAAGAAAAGGGAATCCTTGTGCACTGTTGGTGGGAATATAAATTGGTGCAGCCACTGTGGAAAACAGCATGGAGCTTCCTCAAAAAAATTTAAAATAGAACTACCTTATGACCCAGCAATTCCGCTTCTGGGTATTTATCCGAAGAAATCCAAAACACTAATTCGAAAAGATATATGCATCCCTATGTTCATTGTAGCATTATTAATAGTAGCCGAGATGCCTCTAGTTTTTACAGTCACTTCTCTGGGAGTATATAACTGAGCACAGAACAATTTGGCTACTCCCCACTCCCATAGAACCCCACATATAAGGAAATGTCTGATAGCAGCATCTAGCCAATGCTAATTGGTGACAGAAATGAAATTGGCTACTTCCTGCACTTCCCCAACACTTTATTTAGATTTAAAAGTGAATTCAACTATGCACACAATGGGACTTTTCACGAAGCTGTTGCCTATAGACTGATGGGAAGATTTCAAGAGTGGTGCAGGTTTTAAAAAAATCATATCGTGTAATTTTATTAGGGATTTTAAGTATTTGTAATTTGGGGGACACAATTAGGGTGTAGTCTGAAGATTATATGTAATAATGAAACCAAAACTAATTAGTAGGTTGTTTAACTCAGTTAGAGGCTGTCTGCAGGCTAGCAGCTTTCCTCTGCTAAATCTTGTTAAAATGCAGTGAGTTCTATTTAGTACAGAATGAGCAGGCTGCCATGACAACTGTCTGTGAATATTATTTCAATATTAGTCATAGGTTTCTAGTGTCTGCCTCTGGGTCCACCATTTATTTTAAAAGCCAGATGCACGTCTATTCTTAAAGGAGTTTTCCTGGATGTGTTTATAAAAAACAAAAAAACACTTTCAACTGGCTGGGTTTTTTTCTTTTGGAAGAGAAATTTGAATGAATTTACACAATTGCAAATTATAGATTTTATTATTGCTCTTTTCTTTTGGAAAGGTGATTTGGGTATGAATTTATATTGTACTTGACTGTACATTTGTTTAAATAGACACCCTAGACCAGAGTTTGGAAAATTCTCCTCTAGTTTTATAATCCTTAGATTAAATTATTCTTTTTTTTTTTTTTTTTCAATCTAACAGTATCAGAAGGAATCTTGTGGTTGCAAGTGACAGAGGATTCAGCTCAAACCGAATTAGCAAAACCAGTCTCAAATGAATCTGACTTGAAAATTCCAAAGGTAAAATATCATCTAGAGATTCAGGATGGGGGGCTTCAGCTCCATTTCCCTGCCTCTCTCCTGCTCTACCCTTCTCCATGTATCAGTTGCACCCTGCAGATTGACTCTCCTCATGGTGACAGCCTTGCTCAGAGCACCATCCTTGGGGAGAAGTGAGTCTG